TATACACTATGAATGACTAATACATACATATACATACATATATATATATGTCACCTTATTGTTTCATTTATATTATTATTTATTTATATTATTATATTGTTCCATTTATATATATATATATATGTCGTTTTATTTATATTATTTATATTATTGTTTCATTTATATTATTTATTATATTTATATTTTTTAATATTATGAAAATATATTTACATAATCGATTCGAATAAAATATATTCATGTTTTGTTAAGCGTTTCTTTTTCAAATTTAGGGATCTGTGAATTGTTGGGCACCGGATGTCAAATATAAATCAAGACTTGAAAATCAAGAAAATAAAAATAATGTAATTATGCGAAAAAATAGAATTATGCTGAAGAAAATTCGTCAAGCAGAAAGTCAATATCCCACTCGTGCGTTTTTGAAAAACTGGAAGAGCATGCATGAAGCGATAGAACATCGTGCAAGGTTGCCTAATTATTATTCAGAAAATACAACAAAACTTTTAAGCTTGCTTTATTTACATTTTTGATTGTAAAATTTATATTCTGCACTAAAATTTTTATATCTCTTTCCATATTATACAGACATGTTTCAGTGATTGAAAAATTATCCGGGATATTATATATTCAAAAACAATTGTCCGAGAAAAGTGGAACAAAATGTTTTTTTGACATTGGACTTAAAGAAGAGAATCAAAAATTGGGACGTCTGGTGTTTGAACTATATGATGGCATTGTACCACGTACATGTGAAAACTTTGCAGCTTTCTGTCGTGGAGTAAATGGATTGTCATATAAGTGCATAAATTATATTAAATTTATATTTAAACAAAAAATGCAATATCAAAAATTTATTAGAGATAGTAATTGTAATACTAAAGTTATGCCTTAATTATAATTTATTAAAACTTGATTTAAGAATTAAGTTTAAAATTTTTGAATATATTCTATTATATACTCTATATAATATTTATTTCGTAGACACACTCCGTTTCATCGTATTGTTTCTGGCTATTGGTGTCAAGGAGGAGATGTCACAAAATTTGATGGTACCGGCGGTACTTCTATATACGATGACACATTCAATGAAGAAAAGTCTAATTTACATCATGCAGAACCCGGTATCTTGTCTACATGCAACAACAAACACGATTCCAAGTTTAATCTCACGTTTAAACATTTGAGAACTGTAGACGACGATAAAATTGTATTCGGCCGAGTAATAGGTGGAATAATGAACATTTACAAGGTAAAATGGCATACTTTTGTTAGTAATTTAAATATGTTTTCTACAGTGATGCAATGCCAACTAAAACTGTTCGTTTAATTGTGTAGATTGTCTTACTAACAGGAAAGAAATTGTTTCTCTTTCGTTTTTATAGTATAAATGAAACTCTCATTTCATAGATAAATAGTAAATAAGAAACTAAAAAATATACTTTGTATTAAAAAAATTATTCTATAGTTAAATGTATTATCAGATTTTGTTTTTGTTTTACATTTCAATATTTAGCTTTTATGAAATACATAATCAAGTAATTTTTAATATACATGTATTAAATTGGAAAAATATATAAAATAAATAATTAAAACTAAAGATAAATAATTCTAATAATCACTAAATAATAATTGTTAAATCCAAACAATTATGCAAATCAATTATATCTATAGAAAACTTAATTTTTTATTTATTTATTGAAATATATAAAATATATAGTGAAATATATAAAAGTGAAATATATAAAATATATTTGTGTATAATATAATAGTGAAATATATAAAAAATATAAATGAACCAGATTTTAATGCTACTTCAGTGATCGATTATATAAAGTCAATGGAATATATGTCGCCATCTAGTGTAGAGCTTTCAAATTATAGCATACGAAGCCAAGTCATATCTCGATTCTCCTGCTTCTTTATAAGAATATATATTCTACTATATTAAATCATATTTAATGTATAATACAATACTGTAAATATTGTCTTCAATATTTCATAATTTCCATGTATCACTGCGTATATTAATTTTTAACTTTTTAATCATTAATTTTTAACATAAAATTAAAAGTTATGTTGTTTTTTTCTATTTATTATATTCGTACATATTATATAAAATTTATTCTTTTATCTGTTACATAAGAATAAAATTTATTGTATATTATAACAAGAAAAGATTATTTCAAAAATATGTTGAATAGAATAGCTTAGAGGAAAAGGAAGTTATTTCGTATTTTACAAGCAATAAAAAAACTTCATATTGCATCGTTCAATATCTTTTACGGGAGCTTTAATTATTATCCGCGCGTTTGACCACAGTGTAGTGGTAAACTATTTATGTCTGCCATGATTAAACAGATCGAGGAATTCGGTACGAAGACCGGAAAGCCAATAAAATCGGTGATCGTATTAAATTGTGGAATCCTGTCGATGAAATGTGCACATTAAAGGCTGTCCAAGCTCCAAATATGAGCAAACTGCATTATATTTATGTGTGAAAATATAATTTATTATAAATTCTAACTGTGTGTATCAATAATCGTAACTTCAATGACATTTCAGAAATGATTTATATTAAAAAAAATTATTTTATAAAAAAATAAATATCAAATAACATGTAATACATAATTACAAAAGAAGTTTATATCTTTAAACATTAAATAATAAAAAAATTTCTTCTTAAATATTTTTATTTATGACTTAAAATCTTACACTTTATATATAATTCTTTTATTAAAAATATCAATCACGCTAAATGTGTGTAATATTCATATTATATTCTAAACATAATAAAAAAAATATTGATTCGCAGACGCAATAAAATTCTAATCATAATTCAAAATCATTATAAATGCATCCCAATGCTCGCAATATAAAAATACCTATGATGCGTAGTAGTCATATTTGATATTACTTTTTAATTAATTTGAATCCTAAATAGACAAAACTGAATAAAAAATCCAATATTAAAAATTACATTAGTATGTAATGAGAGCTTTTTAACAACCAATAGCTTTTTAACGTACCAATGAGATTTCGTCGAATTCTCTTCTCTAGTTTTTAATTAAATGTCTTTTATTAAATGTTTCTCATGCAACGTTAAGATATCCATTTTACAACACATATTCTATAAAAAGCATAGAAAATAAATAAAGTTTGTGGAAACAAATACGCATTCAATTGATAAAAAAATATAAATAAATAAAAATAAATAAACAAATATAAATAGAAACATAAATTAAATTGATAGTACATGCACAGGTTGCATCAACGCTGTTTTAAAGGCAGGTCATGCTTTTTAAAAATTGGAACTTGCGTATGGATTGCAATCTTGATTAACGAACAGGCTAGGATATTCGTAAAATAAAAAACAAACAAACTCTGTTGCTTTGACTGTAACAAAATTTATAAAGTTAAGTTTAAAAGTTTAAACAAATCATTTAAATTCTTTTGCAAGCTTAAAATAAGCTTAAATAACTAAGAAAAAAGTATATATATGTATGTATGTGTGTTTTTCAATTAACAATTATATCTTTATTATACTAAATATTAACACTAAATATTATATAATACTGCATAATGTATGTATATACTACATAACAAAACCGCAAGATAAAGCCGCACACTCCTAACAATTTTGAAGAGATTGGAGATTGGAAAATATGAGTTTTACTTTATCTCATTTGTTTTACGACTAACTGTAATAGAATTAGCATAATCAATATAACAAACAGAATGAAAGTTTTTCTTGCGGACACATCCAAGCTTTATACTTCTCGTTTTACAGTTGCATTATACACGTGATATACTCAGTCTTTTAGAATTCTAAAAGATTTGCCGGTTTTCCTAACTATAAACGCGCACATACACATACATAGATATACATATGCGTAAGAACCTATATCGACCGAATTCTTGATGTTCATTGAGATCGCATCCTCCCTCAGTTTTTCGGATGTCTCACATTCCGCAAAATGACGCATATTTCGCATTCAACACATTAGTCTGATTATTATACTTTCAAGTGGGCCATAATAAAACTAACCATTCTCTTCTCTCTTTTTATTTCTTTTGTTTCGTACAAAAATATTTGTACAAAAAATATTATGATTATTGCTCTTAGGAGGTGTTGCACTTATGAATTGAAAATCAAAAGAAAATAAAATGTAAGAATAAAATGTAAAAATTAAGATATAAATTTTAAAATATTAAAAAAGAAATATTATTTTTATACTCAACTTCTTTTTCTTGCAAATTGCTCTTTTCGAAATAAATACTATTTTTATTCCTTTTTTATTTGCGATGTTACAGAATATTGTTTCTTTGCATATTAACAACGTTATATATTTTATTTCTTATTTTATTAATATATTTAAATTTTTTAATAATTTAAAATTAATATTAATAAAATTAATTAATGCTTATAGCGTGTATATCTTGATATATCTTTTTGTATCAATTTTGTTTCTCATAATTTATATATATTTTGTTTACGTATACCTGTAATTTTATATTTTAATATTGCAATGTACTATTACAAGAAGAATAAAAAAAAGATTTAGATATAAGATTTAGATATAAGATTTAACTATAATACACACATAGAATCGTATTGCAGTTACGAAATAAATTATTATTATTAAGTTTTCCAACAATAAATAATTTCATTTTTGTATTCATATTTCATTTTATATTCATGTTGTTTAGTTGTTACTGTAATTATTATTATATCGAAGTGATCATGTTATTTATTATTACGTCGACATATATTTAAAACGTGTATTATATTAAATTTGAGATTGGTATTACGAAAATTATGATTACGATTATTATGATATTATCATTTGACAGTAGTTGCCTTGATAATTAATATCGCAACACTATGATCATAATGACATTAAAACAATTATTACATTAAAACAATTACTGACACAAAGATCATCATACCATGAAAATCTCTTCAATAACTATCACTGTAATTACAATATATTAATTATTGATAGTAGAAATATTTATCTCAAACTCAAAACAGCTTGTTTAATCAGATAATTTAAAATGTTTATAGTTTGTGTACAATGACAAAAGAAATTATATAATGAGGTAAGACTTCAAATAAAAATTATGAAACATATTTATAAATAATTTCAACTTATCATTATATTGTATTATTATTTTTGATAAAAAATATCTCACGTAATATTTGTAAAAAAAAGTATAAAAAATAAAGCATTATTTTAAAATTGGATGAGATAAGATTATAAAAAAAATCATCAATCAAACATCAATAATCATTCTAAATTACATTAAATTATTTTCTAGATAATAGCATTTTATAATGTGCTAAAACTAACGTTTGTATCAGTAGGCAGCTGTTAATTATTTATTAATTTTTTATCAAATTATATTTATTATATGTAGTGTCACTACACTATCATCATATATAGAAATCATAATATATTTATTTGGTTTAATCAAAAAAATTCTCTACTTCTTATCATGGATATAATATATGATCTTGCTAACTAGAATATGACAACTGACTGATTTGATGACAACTTTTTCTTATTAATTAGAAACAATCTTTTTTATTGAATTAAAAAGATTATACATACATTATTAGATGTATGTGCTAAAGGAACTCAAGTATATTAACATTATTATTGCATATATTTTTTGCCGTGGATAACACTTTTTCCCGAATTTTTTACTTGCATTTATGTGAAAACGTATTCACCACCATTTCGACAACTTAATATTTTCCAGTAATAGCTATTACGCCGTTATTGAAATTTCAATTGACGTCGTGCTTGCCTAATGCGCACGCTCTTTGACAAAAGTATCTCCACGTGGATAAATGAAAAATATTTTTATGACCTTTCATTTACGATCTCTTTTTATTGGCTGATAGTGCACGTGCTCCGATATATTTAAATGCAAAAGATGCCATTACCAGAGGAAAAGAATTTTAAAACGATTTTCCTGTGCAAACTCGCACATCTGTAGGAATCTTGAAAGATTCTAATTGATATTGATTTTTGGAGACGCCAATCGTTTTAAATGAATTTTGAATTAATTCTTTTCAGATAATTTTTTTACTGATAAGAAAAATTAAGCGCTTCAGATTTTGCTTGTCAAATATTGTCTACTTGTACTAATATTACTTTGTGTTGTTAAAACGTATTATCAACTTATATATATTAAATTATTTCTTATTGATAAACGGAATTTTAAAACCAAAATGTACATAAATGTATAAATGTTAATTTATATTGATTTATATTAATTGCTTTTTTTACAAATAATAACATACGTATTTTATGCAATCATATATAATTATGTAAAAAATTATATATATTATATATTTTCAATAAATAGAAAAAATATAAACGTATATTTTATGCTTTTAGTATATTCCTTGCTTTCATACGCTATTCTACAATTAAGAAATTTAATAAATGCAATCATTTATATGTTTAATGCTATAAACGGAAAAGATAAAATTATTTTATAAAAAAATAAAAGAATTCTTCTTATTGTTTTAAGCGCTTTTAAAATAAATCACATATTGTATATTAATATTTCTCTCATTATTATATAATTATTTTTAATTTTATTTATAACGTAGATATCATTAATATAAGATATAAGCTATCATAATACAAGTTGCAATGTCATTATATGATCTTATACTATATAATTTTACATTATATACATAATTCAAATGTAATAATTTATATGTACTATATAATCTAATCTATTTAATGAATAAAAGAATTGTAATATAATCTTTGCTGATTGTTCTTTTAATAGAGTAATTAATTCTTAAGAAAAAACAAAAAAGAAGATAAAAAGGATTTATACAATAAAAAAAAATTGCTTTAAATTGTAATTTTCATTTAGTAAAATTTTTATAATTCGCATAATAAAGCTATATTGGAAAGTCATTATTTAAATTATTCAGCGGAATTTCATAAAGTTACGAGAAAAAAGGGCAAAAATCCTCTAAGGACAAATCCTCTATATTTAATTCGCCATTCGAAATTATCCTATCCAAATTGGCGCCGTCGGCCGTGGCGCCGGGAGGAAATTGAAATTGATCTACCTACAATCAGAAAAAAATGAGGGACTCAACAAAACTCATCCCCGTTACGTTCATCACGCTCGAGTAACATTTCGCAATCACTATTTGAGACAGAAATTTAAATTATATATTTCGCAAGAATACATCTATTCATTCTTTGCAAACATAATAAAAGACTGAATCTATACTCTATCACATGTAATTCTCTCACTTTATAATTTAACAAAATATCACACGACAATACGAAGTAGAAAAGAAATAGCATATATCAATATTATAATGTATTAATTTAGACTAGATAATAAAAAGATTAATTATCAAGAAGATAATCTAAAAAGCGATAATTAAGAATGTCAAGTACTATATTTGTTATAAAGATTTTACATATACTTTTGAATATATAAAATAACTTCAAAATATAAAAGCACGATTTTGTAAACCCTGTAAATAAACTATCTGTAAAATAATTTTAAAAATTCAATAAGAAAAGGTCGAATGATTATGGGA